AATTGAACTATAAAAGCTTAAATATACTCTCAGACAGGCAAGTAGAGGAGCTTTTCATACCTATTGGCTCTGCTGGGATGCCAACTCCTATTGACATTAATTAACCATTAAAAACAGACAAGTTTCTACAGCAGGATGGGTAGAATTTTACATATGAACCGTATACCTACATTATCATGTAATTTTAATTTAAAATTCCATTTGAGAATTAATTGCAATGGCCTCCCTATCAGGCAGTCCTCTCCACTTCTGCTCTCACAGCAGCACTATTGGCTCATGCTGTCAAAAGCCTTAAGGGGAACAGGTCAGTCGAAAATCTCTGCTCTGCAATAACGTATTTCTACACCTGAGAAGCCAAAAAGCAGCAATTAAGCACAGCAAAATAAATAATTCAATAGCTAATTTGACCTGCCAGGTTGTAGAGTACTTTTTTATATCCTACCAGATTGTATTTTAGTTTAGAAGAAGTGTCCCTGGAGAGTAATGCTGTGAGAGACCATAAAATGCTATAGTGCAATATAAGAAACAAAGAAACCTGTAAATGGGCTACTATTGTTTAAAGAAGTTTTTTTGCTGTTGTCAGTCCTGCATATTTCATGAGAAAGTGATGAAGTCCTTCTTTGATTCTTTATGAATTAATCTCCCAACTGATTAGGCAGGTAAAGCAGCCATAGATTGGGAGACTAAAATTGCACTGCAGGTACTTGACTTTTAGATGGAACACAAACCAAACAGAAAGCTAATGCTCTTTTCTGTGGTAAAGGAATTGGCTTCTTTTTAATTGCCTCACAAATAATCCATAGACAGCTTTGAGTGGGAGCAATCCATGTGGCCTCTGAATACATAAATACACATTGAAAATAGGTGGAAACATTCATGCAAGATGCAACTTTGTAGAATAGAACAGCAGTACTTTAGCAAGAGACTCCTGCCTGCCTGTCAGGTTTACAGGGCTGTGGAATAGGGGTAATGCTCACCTGGAGGGAAAAAATAAAGCAGTCCAGATGGAAGGACTTCAGTTCCTCACAGGTAAAAGAAGAGAAGATGAAAATGGAGATGACAGGCAACTGCATGTGCACGGGTGGACAGAATGAAAACTAGGGGGATGTGGGTAGAACAAGGACTGAGATGGCTCTCAGCAGCAGCAAACATGGAGGGGAACAACAGCAGAAACACCAGCAGGGAACACTCTGAGCCTACTCATGCAGCTCTGAAACAAAGGGATACATGATGCTCCTGGTGCACATTTCCTATCCTCATTCACCCGCTGTGGCCACTCCAAAAGCTGAGTGGTCTCAAAGCAGCAGCAGAGCTTGGCTCAGCACAACGGCTGAGACTCGAGCGCTGCCGAAAGGAGAGCACCGGGGACGATGCAGTAAATGCAAACACTTTTTATCTTGGATATACACACACTCTCATTTACTGAGCAGTCTAGGTTCTTGCTATGCTGATTTCAACCCTTTCTGACACTAATGCAAAGCAGTAAGGTTAAAAAAGCCCCTTAACAAACCCCGAAGCAACCACAAATCCCTTCCCTGCTTACTGACACCATTGCTCAGCCTCTCTGGGTACAGCACATCAGTCAGATCTCAGGGCCCTTTATAAAAGGATAACAAAATTCTCCGTAGACCTCAGAAAACTGCAGCTTGGGCAGGGCAAGCACTGGGAACAGCACCCAGAGCATGCTGTCCCATAGCTGATATTACCCTAGATGAATGCTTGCAATGATTTGAAAGATCTACTTGATTTAAAAGTAAATAAATAAATCAAACCAGCTCTTAAGCTTCTAGAACATTACTACAACTGCTATTATAGTCTAACATAGTCCTAGGGAAAAAAAAATGGGATTAACATAAACCAGGTGCACTTATTTTACTGCATCTTCCATTTTATAAAGATATTCATGAACATATAAAAATAAACACTACGCTCCTTTGCAATTAAGTTTCTCTTTAGTTGTAAGTGCAGCTATTTTTAGTTTTAATTTGAGGATATCTCCCAGAACTGCAGAGCATAATCATTTCCACCATAACTCTGCATCATCATTATCAAATACCAGACTATCTTTGGAAAATACACGTCTTACTTGCTGAAGGTCCCAGCAGCCTTTTTTCAGCTGACTGTACATATCAGCTCCCTCAGTCCTGACATCAGTAATGCCAAATATTGGCCACCAAGTGGTGCTACAAAGGTTTACTCCAAATGCAGATCTGGCCCATTAAACCCAAAACTGTGCTCGCCACAGTCATACTGCTCCCTCACAAACCAAAGGGGATGAGGAAAGGTGCCCTAATTTCAAGCCCCATTAAAAATGCAGGAAATAATTTAATGTTTCCCTCAAATATAAATGCAAGAAAATGTATGAGGGAATCAGATTGGTAGTCAAGTTTCTAAGAAGTAATGAAAGAAAATGACAAGGAGGTAAAAAAAAGCACCCATCTGCCTCCAGCCTAGAGCCTCCTTAATGGTGTCTCCCCATTTGATTGCTTTGGGGATTTCACATCCATTGTGAAATTACTTCTCTCTCTGCTGAGCTGTACTAGGCCAGGCACAACAGCTTTTTTTATGGATCTTTGTCATTGCAGAAGACTGTCAGCAATGTTGCAATAATCAAGAACATTATTCAAAAGTAATTGCTAATGTGATAACACCAGCCTGCAGCTGTCTCATCCCTGCAGATTCTCAGCTTCCCTCTGGCTAAGCAAATATCTTCCACAGCCTTTGAGACACAGGGCACACTGTCACAGTACTGCTCTCCCTCTGGGAACAGCCAACACTTACCAGCCAATGTTGAATTCAACGTGGGCGTCAAAGAACCCGACGACAGGAGAGGTTGCTGCTTTCCAGCCTTGGATTCTGGCTCTGATCAGTCCTTCTCGTTTGGTGTTGCGCACTATTTTCACCAGACCTGGGTATCTTTTATTGACATACTGGTCCAGATTAAATTTTAGCTCAACTGCAGGAGAAAAAAAAAAAAAATCCCACACAGACATTCAGAATGAGAAAAGCCCTGTAATGTCATGTTTTACTTTGATTTATTCTGCAACAGAAA